CAGATATCGGGCTCATCCCACCAACTTTGGCCACTTCTGCAGTCGTTAATCTGGGATCCATTTTGATGCTCCTCTTGACAGCCTTTTTGTCCTCTTCGATGGACCCGGACGCTGCTCAGTTGTTTCCTTGCTGTGTTTCCTGAACTGCACGATGATTCTGTTGACTGTTGAAAGCGGGATTCCCAAATTCTACGAAATTTGCCACTGACTTATTCCACCATCTGCTTGACCAACTATCTTTCCTCTAACAAAATCGGACAATTCGAGAGAACCTTGAGTTCTAGGCATGTTGTAATACAAGATAATTAGTGTGCGGACCATTTTCATTCATATAGTGCTCTGTGAACACAAATTAGTTAGCATAAATCAGTTAAATGACAAAAAATTAGGTGTTTATTTACTTGTGACCACTCAGTGTAGTATTGTCCCACATCAAAGTTTTTCTAGGCTGATTGTCCATTAAAAATTCATCATCTGTACTTCACCTGCTAACTGTGTTTTTCAAACAGTTAAAGGATTTTATTTTTAGTGTTTTAATGGATAATGGCATATGAAATTTAATTTATTTATTAAACTTTTAATTTTTTTTCGCATATGAAGAAGTAAAGTTTAGTTAAAACTTGATTTTGCTCTTTATTATTAGAATGTTGTTTGCACTCCATTGACATTAAAGATACTGACAGGACTCTAACATATACACCTAAATTTCTTAAACAAACTACACTCAATGTAAAACTTCTAGTTAGATACAAGTTCAAATTTTTCTGTTACATTATTTTCATACAAAATGTTCATATATTTTTACTTTACAAAACTTGTAAAATGTTTAGTTGGAAACCTGACATTAGTCACTTTAAAACCTAATGAGCAAACACATGTAGCAAAAGAATAAACATAGCATTATCATTCTAACTTTGACCATAAAGGATCTCTTACAAAGTATGTGAAGGTATTAAACTTTTTATAAGACATTTTAATAAGAAACTAGCAATTCTAAAATATAATCATATTTTAAATAATACAATTTTTTTTCAATAATGTCTCCATTGCTACATTTTTTTGTAGCTGTGTTTTTTTGTGGAAGAGTGTTGTACAAACTTTATTTACATTTAATAAATATTGGAAACAGCCTGTTTTTTATTATATTGTTATTGAATATTGTAATATTTCTGTTATTCACCTTTATAAACAAGATAAAAGAATTAGATATTATTCTTGAATTTTTTTTATATTTTCCAGCAAAGTAAGGTTAGACCAATGAGTGCTTATATGCTGTGGTGTCGTGAAAATAGGAAGAGGATTGTAAGAGAAAACCCACAACTTGGTAAGACGAGTTCACATTTAATTTTGTTGAACTATATGTGTAGATTTTAAGAGATATAAATAACTGGAAGAATGGAATGATTAAAGTATGTACAGGGAAATATGACATAGTTAATGGATTAAAGAATAAATGCATACACTTATAAAATAGATAAGCAAACTAATGAACATTTTCACCAGATAGATGAATTGTTAGGTAGACCTATTGTCAGGATTTTAAGTACATGGGCTGAGATTGTTGTACATTAGGTGTCTGTGACTTAATGGCAATAAATTTGAAAAATAAACAGACAGCACACAATCCACTTGTTTTAAAATAATATATTCAAAACAAGTCAAATGTATGTACAAAAATTCTTTACTCTGTAGGATATCATAGTTGTATCTAAAACTCTAAATAATTTTATTTTCTTGTCAAAAGTCCATTCAGACTGATTCAATTACTTTAGAATCCAATTGACAAGATGAACTATTTTTCTCTACTTTGTTTCTTACTGTACAATCTGTAATAGATTCACTTATGTTACTTTGTGGGTTACCACAGTTGTATCTCAAACTTTATATAATTGTCTCATTTTCATCAAAGTCCTCATAGATGGGTTCAATTACTTTAGAACACCCTTTGACAAGACAAATTATTCTCCTTATCTCTATTAAACTGTGAAGGTGACTTTAAAATATTGTCCATTTTTGCTAATCACTAACATGCTGACTAACTTCACATTTTCTGACTGAATGTCACTTTCATTTCACTTTACTTTTCTTTATTGACTTGTGCTTGCTTGGTCACCTATATTTATACATTGTTCACTGAGGCCTTGAACTTTCTATAAACTACACGAGCAATGCTATAATGTAACAATATTCACTTAAGGTAACAAAAAAAATACAGAAGATTCGAGTAACGTGGCGGCAACAGTACTACAACAAATGAACTATACACACAACATACGACTCTTACTGAGTTACGCAACCAAACTTGTCAAAGCTATTGCCTTTAAAATAATTACTTTTAACTCTCTTGTTATGAAAAGTAAATAATCATTAGATATTGTCACAAAATAAATTGAATAATAACATTTACACTAAACAGTCTTGTATGTCCAACACCTATAAACCTGTAAAATTATCATACAACTAATGAGAGCACTTAATTTATGAAGATAATGAACAGTAATGTAGAAATGTTATTGATTACTCAGTGAGCAGATGTATTAGCTGATGTGATAACTTAATGTTGAGTACGTCCAGAAAACTTTTCCTTAACAGTTTAAGTAGAACCCACAAATAACAAGAGGTTTGAGTAGAAAATGTATTGTAGAATTATACAAGTTCACTTTAAATGTTTTAAATTATGTAACACTGATTGGAGTATAGTGCACATAATTATTAATAAATAAAATGACAATGAATTCTAGAGTACCTTCCAGAATGTTTTATTTGCTCAAGAGGACAAGCCAGAGTCTCTTCTGCTCCATCTTGATAATAATGTATGTAAAGGACAGATAGCAAGCCTGAAACTACAACTTGAAACATTTTATATAGTTTTCAAGGACATTAGGTGAAACAATGTTTGTAGAACAGAAAGCTTTAGATGATCTCAAGCATTATTAAAGACATTGGACAGTTAAAAACTCAATAAGTTTGTATCTATATTTAAGTGTCGGAGAAATATAAGTTAAAAATTACTGTCAAGTCATTTTTGAATTTTTTGGCCCACCTCTGGCCTTACAAGCTCCCAAAATTAGTGCAACAGCCAGCCTTTTCAATCACTTGGTTGAAAAATTGGTTTAACAGCACATGATGTCACTCAAGGTAAATATGGCCAATTGTGGTCGGTTTTCTTTCTGTGTGCCATTTTGTGCATGGAAAACTGTTGGTTTGTTTTTTGGGGGGCAAATTTCATTTGACAGACGTCGTAAATACAGTTATAAGTGAGTAAACAACTATGGTTTTTCACTGTGTTTTTTATGGATGTGAGAACATCCCCAAGGAAAAGGAGTTATCTCTGCATGACTTTCCACCTAAGTCAGACAGAAAATGGCACATGTTCTGGACAAAGTTCATATCAAGAACTTGTGATAAATGGAGTCTGACCAAAAGCTGCCATGCATGCAGTGAACACTTTTTGGAATCATACAATTTGATATGGGATTTCGCAAAAAAACTGGTGCTAAATAAAGAAGAAGAGCCCAGTGTGTGTCTGAAGTTTTAGGGAGATCCATTAAGCACAGTGAGCAGCAGTCAGGCTCATGACAGTGGCACATCATACTCTTGTTCACAGACCAATAACAGCAACAACAATTGTGTCGATCAACTATTCGAAAACGAGAAGCATATAGGGTAAGCTCAAGTTTTAGTTAATGTTTTATGTGCAATATAGAATTATCAGCAATCATTCAGGTTTTATAAACACACCAGTAAATCTGCTAAAACAAAAAATGTTTATCAAATTTCATGTTCAGTTATTATTTACCAAAAAAAAGGGCATGGACAAACAATTGTCTGTTTTATTTATTTATTTTTCATGTCTATAACACTTTTTTTTATGAAATTTCATTGGAGATGTCAATATGCAATATACAAAATGCTAGATCTACAATATCGAGTATTGAAATATGACCCCAGCTGTGTTTGCTTTTCCAGTTCTAAAGTGCACTTAGTCATATGCAAACAAATCAGGGCATGAGCAGAATACAGTATCGAGAGTCCATCAGCTGATATTAGATCTACATCTAGATAGATCCATTACTTGAAAAAACAAATACTGACTAGAATTTACTCATAGATTTACTATGTTATCGCCATACTGACGGCTATAAATTTCATCCCATTTTCATGACATTAGCAGTGTGAACCAGTATTTTATGACATTGTAGCATATAACTTTTGAAACAATTCCATACCAAGAAAGATCAGACAACTGCCAGTCCTCGTCCACTTCAGTCAACATTAGACACGTTATCATCTGCAAGCTCTGGTTCAAACATATACGGTGTGATTGACACATTACATCTATCTTCCTTTTCACCTGCTGTCGCCATTTTTGTTTACCTTATGTGACGTAGGTTTGCCCACCCAATTCGCCATGTGGTGCTTCCACTAATTTTTATTAAAGCTAGCCAACTGTGATCAAATATGGCTTGGAGCCACATGATCTTGAGTATTTCATGACTTTTTTTTAATCGTATTACTTTTAGTGTGATACGATAGACACATTCAGGCACGAAAAATACCCTATTGTATGTGGTCTTTAAGATTTCTAATAAGAATGGGTATTTTGTTGTTTTGAAGAAGCACTTTTATGTCTTACTGGAAACAAAAAACTAACATTGGTCCTGAAGTCTAGTATCACTGTTTCAGATGACATATTTGGAACCATGGGATGGAATGCTTCATTGATTAACAGAGGAAAACTCTAACCCAATAATTCTACGCTTTGAGCCACACCATCCTCCTCTTGTAAGGAAAAGATTGATTATGGGAAAACTGTATGATACACAGAACGTGATCAAACACAAAAACATAGTATGAGGAAATGACTGAGCTTAGAGAAGTTTTTCTACAAAACTGCTTCCCGAATACATACATAACACTTTCAGTAATTGGAAGAAAAACAAAAAAAGAAGCAATGAAGAAACATACTCAACAAGAACAATAGAACTATAGGGTAAAATAATTCTCCAGATACGTGGGAGATATTTTGTATATCAGCAGTGAACTGACCAAGCAGTTATGCAAATTATGAAAAAGTCCGGTCTTTCACTTAGAACCATGCAGAAACCGGGTATGACCTTAAAACAGACTCTTACTACATCTGTTTTCATGCACATTGTAAAGAAAGCCAGTGTTTTGTTAGCTTCTCAAATATAAAAGTGCAGCATTTATACAAACTAGAATGCATAGAATTTAAAATAAGCTACAATGGAGAAACCGGGAGACTCTTCCACGAATGTATCGTTGAACACATTTGAGACGTAAACAAAGGTGAGTTGGGAGAAAAAAGTGTAGTGACTGAAAACTATTTCTTGAATTATGATGCACCAAAGATTGTTTGCCCAATAAGGTTTAAAATTTTCACAAAATCCAATTATTTTGTAGATTGGATTATTAAGGCATCATTTATTTTAAAAGAATATATACAAACTAGCGTAAAAAACCATCAAAAATGAAGGGAAACCACTGAAAAACAAAACTATTCTGTGTAAAACTGGCAATACACAAAAGAAATATAAAATTTCCTTTCACAAGAACATACTACATATTGGTGACTTTGGATAAAAGATTAAAACATATGATGACCACTTGATTGCATACACACCTGTTCTTCTTCTGAGGAAAAGTCATCCTCTTCCTTACAAATAATTCGTATCTTCAGTCTGTTTTAACAAAGGCTTTTTCATGAAAATTCCCAAGCATAGATTTGCACTCATTTTCTTCTTATTTTCCACAGGAGTCTTCCCGGCTTTCCTGTTCAGATCCTACCTAGCTTGATGTCATAATGATGTGGATGATGTTGTGTCACACACATAATGCTATGCCTGATTTGGACCTGGGAAATTCTTTCTTGACAGGCTCTTATATAGCAGAAAAAGCACCAAACCTTAGGAGCTATTTATCCTATGTCTGTGATTAACCATCTCTGCCCAGGCATAATTTACTGTGCATGTCATGAGGATTTAGTGGCTTACATTCAAAATGTTATTAACCCTATCATCCCGGGTATCCTTTACTGCGCATGACACCAGGTTAAGTGTCTTACATTCCAATTTTATTAAACTACTTTTTGTTTATGTTATACCAAGTAGAATAGCATAAAATCTTAGCTAATAATCCATATTTTAATAGTATACAAGTTTTAAGTTCTTAATTCTACAAGGGAATATTTCAAAAAATCCTGAATTTCCACTGGTATGACCCACGTGACACATTTTGTTTCAGCATGTCATCATCCCTATTTTATCCACCACCCCCTCAAAAACGTATGAAATTAAATGCAATTTACTCTCTGTAAAATTGTAATTACTCAGACAAACCATAATTTTTATAGTGTTTAATCTTGTTTGGTTACAGAGATATCGAATAGAAAATCAGATCCCTCCTGCCATACCCACCTGTCACATCCTCTCTTTCAGAATTCGTTGGTAATTCTATTACATTTCATTATATGTTACCTATAACCAATACAAAGTCAAGGTTTTTATCTATCGACTGACATATTGTATATTGTTATGTTCTGAACAGTTAAATGTCAGTTTCACTCAGAGTACCAGCATCGTTCCCATTGGAAGGTTAACAACTAACTTGAATGAACTTGTAATGGCTCTTGTCCCATAGTTAGAAAGCCAGGAAACTTTGTTATTAGTCTATGTTCTATGGTGCATTATTTAATTAAATAAAAATTATCTATATTATAAAAAGTTATGGTTAACTCTCTTCGAAACCTGACAGTAAGAAAAAAGAAGATTAGGTAAGTACTCGTTTTTCATATTTATTCTTTATTTATCATTGTAAACGTAACTAAAATCTAAAAATATGGATCTTTTTAAGTTATTTAAGACTAAATTAGGTAAAATAAGTAATAATAATAATAATATAATTAAAATGGTTCATGAGGTACGCACGTGGGTAATGTAATTCGAGAGCGTAACGTGAGCTGCATGTTCCTTGAATGATTTACAACTTATAGTGATGCAGATTGTAGTTAAACACAGCTCAAATGGCAATAAAAAAATAAAATTTAATTATAAATAGATGTATGATGTTACAAACATAGAGCTACTTAGGATAAACGAATGTAGTTTCATGTTACAATTTGAAGTCATTCTAGAAAGAAAAAGAAGACTTTTAATATTAACTGAAAGACTGGATATACCCACTGTATTGAGAGTTATAAGTATTAAATCTATAAAGACTTTAACCGAGTAAAAATAGGTCACATGGTCAGTCAAATTGATTGAGCCTGTATTGAAAATGTTGATATATTATTTTATATAAGTGGGCTGTGTGGTGTTTGTTTATTGTTGAAATTTATTGCCAACAAGTCACAGACATCTACTGTAAATAATCTGGCATACAAAAAATTCTTGACAATATGGAATAGTAGTAGCACCAAAAAAAACTTCTATTTATTGCTTTTTTCCATGATTTAGTTCAACATCCTTCACCAGCCTTATTTGTTGGATGTATATATGCATTTGTAAAAAACAGGTTGTTTTAGATTTTTTAAAAAATCATGAAGGTTTACAAACTATTAATATAATGTGTAATTTTTTCCATTCTTCTTGCTGTACAACAGAGATTTTGAATTTAAGAAACTATTCATACTAACGATTTTTGTACTTCAATAATCCAGAACACTTTTATGTTTGTTACTGAAATATTCATAAAATTGATTGCCTAGGGCATCCAGTAGCCTCCATAAGTCACTAACTACCCCATTGAATAAGTTTACTTATAAACAGTTTTTCAATCATTGGTTAATGTACATTGAAATAATCCTTATGTATTTAATATCTTAAAACAGTTCAACTCCATATATTCTTATACAAAACACTAATGCAGATTTTAAAAGATGTTTATGTAGAGCTTTATATTAGTATTCTGTATTTGTATATCTTACAGATTTTCATTTGATCAGCAAAAAAATGGGTTCAGTGTGGCAATCTTTATCAGCTAAAGAGAAGATGGTAGGACTTTAAGTGTTCTCTGTTATTAAACCATTATCCTCATGATTCAACTTTTAACATGTATGACCTACTCATTGCCAAGCTACTTTTTTATATGGTCCAAAACTATTAAAAGTCAGTCTTTATAATAATGTTATTACCACTTTTTCCTTCCCTTTATAGTAAGTGATAAGAGAGAGAGAGTTGACTGATTTTCTGAAGAATTTTATTAATGAAAACTACTTCTAAAAGCTACAAAACAGTAATTAGTACCCAACTAATGTCCGCATATGCAATATAGTTAGCATTGGATTTTCTCAGACCATCTTCAGAAATTCTTCAATCTATATTGAAATATATATGGTGGCTCATATCATCATCATGTACTCCTGCCCCAGAATTTTAATTATTCTGTTCCTTCATGAACTATTAGGCATGGAAGAAGAAAGCAAACCAATATGCCAAACTACAAAGGATAACTGGGGGTGCATCATTTATTATGACAGAGAAGTGTGGACCTTCTGCAGGACAGCTTGCCAGTTCTGGTAGTGAATCCAACAAGAGTAACATCTCTGGTATTGTCAGCAACATCAGTTCCATTTATGATCCCAAAACAAAACTTCCAAGGACAACACCACTTGATGTTGCTGCTTATTTGAAGCTTTTAGGAGATTCCCTTAGTATTATTGGTCAGAGATTAACTGAACATGAAGTAAGGATACGTGTTTTTTATAATCTTTATCACAACTTCTACCATTTTTTTCACATTATCTCTGAAATTTTTCTAGTCAGGGATTTGTTTCTTAAAGCACTGGCTGTCAAAGCCTTTTCTAATAATTTCACAGATGAGCTGATCTTATTACACTGAAGTCTTACTTTATTTACCAGCAGACTTTTTTAAGTTGAGATTAGACAAGATTGCCCTGTTATGTGTGAATGAAGATGTAGATATTCATGGAGAACAAGATCAACTGGTTTAAAACATTACCTGGGCTGATTATTAGATTTATAATGTCTTGACAAAGGCTGATAAACCTTGAATTACAGTATACATACATATATATAAAAGCATGCAAGTTTTAATGCTGCTTTTCTACACAGTTGGACGAGCTTCTATAGATAAACCACCTTGAATTACAGTATACATACATATATATATAAAAGCATGCAAGTTTTAATGCTGCTTTTCTACACAGTTGGACGAGCTTCTATAGATAAACCACCTTGAATTACAGTATACATACATATATATAAAAGCATGCAAGTTTTAATGCTGCTTTTCTATACAGTTGGACGAGCTTCTATAGATAAACCTATCTGAGTAATGGATTCCACAAGATTGTCTTTTGATAGTGGAAGAAGAAAAAGGCTGATAACCACAGTATTGCACACCACGGAAGGCTTTTAATTTTAGAAAGATAACTTTACAGTTACAAAAGCAAATTTACTGAAGAGATGGTATGATCACTACACTGTGGTCTCTGTTTAGTAATAATCAGTCTTAGTTTATCTATAGAAGCTCGTCCAACTGTGTAGAAAAGCAGCATTAAAACTTGCATGCTTTTATATATATGTATGTATACTGTAATTCAAGGTGGTTTCACTTCAATATGAATATGTATAAGGAAACTTGTATGCAAATTAATAAAATCTTCCAAGAAAAAATTGTTTTCATTTAATCAAACATACTATTATAAGGAAACAATCTTTACCTCTGCAGACCCCATTATGAATGCCTATAGACTAGAGGTTGAAAACCATAACTTTAAGGTAATTTGCTACTTCATTTTTAATAATGAACAGATCTGGTACAAAAAAAATGGACATACATGTTGTACTGATAATTTGTAAAGACTTGCCACATTTAAAGATGATTGGATCATGTTTATAGGTTATTTTCTCTCCTTAAGTGAAATTATTAAGCTAACAAACCATAAAAGAGAACTATCATTAACCTGAAATGACTAGTTAAACTACTGTTACTTCAGTGCTGGAAAACAGTTAATTATAAGAGTAGTCATGTTTAATATAATTTTTACATACAGAAAGCTGATCTAAACTTGTGATATTGTCATATACAACAGCTCCCTATGTTATGTATCTCAATTTCAGAAGTTATCCTTTTTTTTATAAGCTGTAGGTTTCATCTGCTGTTTGTGGTAGAGCTAATATAATGCAACATAAGTTGTTGTTTTTTGTCAGGAAAGACTATTCTTAACCTAAAATTCTTGAATTTAGTGAACTTAGTATATGTACACTTATCTATTTGAAATGATGTAATACAGAATATGTTCACATTGTATTACCTACTTCATAGTTAATTTGTTTTATTTTTGTATCTTTTATGTACATTGAAATAACCCTGTTTCAATTTCAAGTGTATGTATATCAATTGATGGAATTGTATAGCTTATACACTGTAGTTGCTCCATTATTCAGTTAGCAGGAAGTAAAACTATTGTCCTTTCACTTAATTTTGTTGTAGCAGTAAAAATTATGTAATGAAATGATTTGAAATTATTGAACTGTTGTTCTTTTTAATTTATTTTTTCATTTCAGGGCCAAATAGCTGTGTCAGGAACACTGTCAGTGTTGTTGGACTCCACACTTTGTGCTCTTGGACCATTGATGTGTCTTACGAGCCAAGTTCCCGAGTTGAATGGTTGTGAGCAGACGTCTCTGGCACAAATTTTAGACAACATAGCTTATGTGATGCCTGGATTATAAAATCAGCTTGAAAAAATATTAAGCACTAAACAATCTGAAGCTGATAAAAGTTCATGGAAAATTTCATCAAATAAACAGATTTAAATCACATATTGCACCTACCCTTGTTGCAAGTTTTCGTTTTACGCTGTAAATGCTATTGGTGGTTGCAGTCATTGGTTGTACCAAAAATGTTTCATATTTATCCTAAACCAAGCATTTGGTTAATATTTTGGTGATTGATTGTAAATAGATTATAAAAAACACATAACCCTTACAATCTATTCAATCCAGAAGTGTTTTCAGCAACAGAAATGAAACTACACACTAGGGGCACACTTTACTGCCATACACCTGAACACCTGCAATTGGCTAATGAGTGTGTGTCAACACAGAAGTGAGGCTAGAAGAATAAGGTCATACAATCAAGGTAGTTAGTATTGAATCCTTGGTAGGGAAAGCCAGACCAATTAAGAAAATGTTTAATAGTTTTCATCAACTCACTAATTTTGGAGCACTGTAACTGCAACTTGTCTTGTGGGCACAATTGCATCATTTATCTAAAAAATAATGATAGAAAATAAACTTGTGTTATTTCTACACATTAAAAAAAACTTCAGAATTGAAGTTTATTTAATAAAAAAAAGAAATAATAAAATAGTTAAGTTTCGATTTTGGTGCACTCCAAACAAAAATATTAGTGTTTCTGAATTCCTTTTATAGTATAATATGACACTCATGGTGTTCTATGAGGGAAATTATAATAGTGTTGAAGAAAATAGCACTAATTTGACTGTATAACTTGAAAACAAGTGTAGTTTTATCAATTTTATTTTCAACTATATAAGCCAATATGTCTTCCAGTTCAGTGGAAATTTCCATAGAGATTGAAACAAGGTGATAAAAGATTAGTTTGGTGATATTCTACTAGAACAAGAGATGGTGTGAACAAATAAAATCCTGATGTTTTGTTAAAGCTTGTGAAATGCTTGATTTTGAAATATAATAGGAGAAGAAATGTTTTTCATGGAGCAGAATTAGGTAGGCTTAGCTAAATCAATCTGCACTCAGCTGTATCAAATTTTGTTTTGATAACAATGCTACTGTGTTAGAGTTATTGATAGGCCCTTTCAGATAGAATGGACAAAGAAAATTCCCAAAATGAAATGAGTACAGAATGGGTTTAAAATTTATTACTTTTTTCTTCAATTTTAAAAAAAAACCAGCTTGGTTATAATTTTGGTATGGTTAAAAAGTTTTTAATTGTTCATCATTGATCATAAATACATTAAAAGTGCATGCATTGTTTTACAAATCAAAAGAAAGATGAATTTTATAGTTTTATAAGATAAAACCTATAGAAAAGGTTTAGAAAAATGTAGAAAGATATAAAAGTTGGTAAGCAAAATCTGTAGCAAAGGTAAACAATGAAATATTTTAAAAGCTGCAAATTTATACAAATATCACATATAAAAATAAGGTATTTTATTTGGGGAAGCTACATAATCTGTAGAAAGTTCATCAGAATGTCCAAACTAATTCATCCACTACTTTATTTCTTCAATGCAATAAATCAAACCATATGACAGGTGTGTTAAATCAATACATCAGAACTTCTGCTATTTAATTTATAGCTACATACTATCACTATTTGATCATTGGTTGGTTATCCCTGCCACACATCAAATATGATTTTATAAGTAATTCCCACCATTTGTAAACGTAGATTCAGAGTTTTACCATAAAGATGGGCATTGTATAAATATTTTGTATATAAAATATCATTTAAATTCTAAATGAGCATTCCATTATGTTGAGGAAATTGCTTTTCTAAGTATACTCATTAGTTTGTTTATGTCAATTTTTATGTTTGGCTGTAAAAAGCGGTGTAATTAAATAAAACAGATAATTATAGCTTCAGTTGTCTGTGTATATTCTATGTTTTTAAGTTTCAAGCATCATGCTTTGACAAAAAATGCAAAAATGATGTGATATGTACCAGGCAGTTTTTTTTAAAGCAAAAATAACTTATTCCACACTGGTGAAAAGGCACAGTCTATATTACATCAACCAGTTTCTCAAAATGGTCAGTACACTGGCCTATTGGGAGTTAGTCTCGGCAAGATTAACACTGATTAAAACAAGGCACACAACAATAAAATCTATTGCTGAATGAAATATTTTGACCCAGTGGTGCTATTTTACATCATCATACTGGTGGGTCAAATTTGGGACTAGTGAGCCAAATGGCCTACTAGGATGTATGTAAAAGAACAAAGACCCAAGATATAATTTTAATATGCAGCAGTCATGTTAAGCCGACACTTTTTTTCACCATTAATTGAAACATATTCAAAAAATATAACCTGTTTTACAAAATTTATAGTACTGCTTTTATTATCCTATAAGGACTTTGAATTTGACATTTACAGTACTAACTACAAATTGGTTTGAATATACTGACACAAAATAGTGTAAAAATGTACAACCTTTCTTTTATTTGGAATTTACTGGTAATTTTGTACTTTTAAGAGTTTTTTTTTTACTCTCAGTAAAATAACTCATTTAGAAAAAGATAAAAATGTGACAATGAGAAATTCGTTGTAAATTATCATTTCAAGACGGGATTATTTGAGTTTATATGGTACGATATGTCTCAACTGCCATCTTTTACAAACCTTAAAAATGTACTGAAATATTAAGAGCAACATCTTTAAGATAGGATTTTTTACATTATTTATAATATAACTAAATCATTGGTTTATTCTTATACTATTTACCCACGTGATAAAAAAATGTGCCTAGCTTTTAGTGGTAATTAGCAGAAGTTCTTGGGTGGGTCATGATCACTCTTGATGTCATCCAATAAGTTTCTTCAGATGTAAGGTAAATAAAGTTTTCCTGGTGTAATGTTCATTTTCAATTGTATGGTAGTGTGCTGAAACAACATGACTATGATGATGTGAGACTGCTTTTTCTTTTAGGCTGTTGGGAATTGCTGTTGAAGAAACTTTGAGATATTTGATCTAGTTTTTGACATGCTTTCCCATAAAGCTCTATTAGTACCAAGTGGGTTATTTTGTTTAGTTTGCCTTTCATTTGGTTTATCAGTTTAAAATTACGGATGACTATGCACATAAAGTCCCTGTGTACTTTTGCAGAAAACAATAAAAAATATGATTGATTCCTATCCACCTCATGATTGATGTTTATTATGTGGTGAGTTAGTTTATCTGATTTCTAGGTCAACTTATAGGAGTTTTTTTGGGCATAGATGGTGACTTGTATTTTTGGTGCTGGTGGAGTGAGTAGAAATTTCCTGAGTGTTTTTTGACATGTTGCTCTTCTTGCTAGGATTACTTGGATGTTAGCACTGGTTTCATTGTTTGTTTTTGAAGGTTAAGTTTTATTCTCAGGACTTACTGTACATGGAAACTTGTCTGGAGATTAGAAAGTGATATTTATTTTAATCAATGAACTTAGAGTTTGATGCATGGCTTCTCTTCTTAGTAGTTAAATATTCAGATAGTTACAATAGTGTTAAGTCTTCCTATGGCATTTTATATCTCATTAAGATAACTGATAAATCTGAAAACATTTTTGTTGTTGTTGTTGTTATTATTATTATTAGAAATACTTAACCTCCATAGACTGTTATTTTCCTTATTGCAGTGCTAATTTTGTTCCTTCAGGTAATATGTTGGGGTCCATATAGCATACGAAATAGTTGGATACTTAAATTTCACAAACAAGTAAAATATTTATGTAAATTCACAGATTTTGCCATAAACATCTTTTAAGGATTTCATGAACAGCCATGTAATGTTTGAAATACAAATAAACATCTCGGAGGTAGTTTTGGGAGAAAGAGATACACGTGGAGAATGGTCTTTCTCTCTCTCTGGAAAAATCATAATATTTGAAAAATTGTTTCAAAACCTGGATCACTAGTTTTAAAATTGTAATGGTTTTAGAAATATTGTAATTGCATTAAAATGAAAGACTTTAACGGAAAGAAATGTCTTTCACATAAGTCTCTCCTTTCATTAAAGTTAATTTGTTCTTACGAATAATACGCACAAGATTACTATGTTCACTTAAATGGGTTTTCTTAGTACAAAGCTATACAATATATCTGCACTCTGTCTACAGCAGGGAATCGCACCCCAGATTTTAGTGTTGTAAATACGTAAACTTAGTGGTAACTATTTGAATTGGAATATTATTTGTTCACGTCTAATGGTATAGTTAAACGTATATGATTGAGTAGATCAAATTAAAAAAATTATTATTAAATTAATAATGACTGAACATAATTTTTCATATGTTAAAACTCGTTTAGAAATAGTGTGATATTCAGGGTTGTCAAGTTTGCGTACTTGTGAACTTAGGCCTCTCACCCTTTTTTTGTGTTTTATTATTATTACAAGTGCTATAATATTTGTGAGGTTGCAGTTTTTGTTTGTTTAATTTAACAGGGATATGACTTAACTATATAACAGCCTCTTTAACGTGTTATATTATTCTATCGGTACGTTATTGACTGCTGTTTTGTGTCGCTATAGCTTCGTTATTTTAACAGAACTACATTGCGTAATTAACGTTGGTTGTTTTAGTTTTAAGGAGTGGCTTGTGTTGGGAGCCAATGGGGTTTATTGCTGTTAAAACATCTGGCAACCCTGGCGATATATGATCCGTGAGAGAAATCTGTTGCTTATGCCTAACCAATATTACAGTTGATGAAGTTGTATATGGTTCCAAAAACTACGCTTGTTAAATAACTTGTGATTTTTCATGTAAGGATGTTGCTATTTTAATGTATTTTGTTATAAGTAGATAAGGTTGTGTACCAGTTAGACTTATTATAATCTTAAGTTACACATAATTTGTTATTTATGTTAGGCCTACCAAGATAACAGCCAAACCCAGCCGGTTATGACATAGAACTAGGGCCCCAGCATTTGAAATAATTTTAAACCTGCAGTACAATAGATGAACTTCGTATGTAGTAATGATATTGGTATTTTCAACGTTATGCTATACATGGCCTAAACAGACAAATCAGAGGTCCTTGGAGGTCAAATATAGCAGGCTCCAATTTTGAAGTAAACTTAATAACTAGAGGGAGAGCAACTAGTCAGCACCGCCTGCTGCCTAGGCTACAAAACTGCTTTTAACCGAATAGGCTTGACACTCACTGTTATAACTAACCCACAGCTCAAAGTGTGTGTGTGTGGTGGTGGTGGTGGGGGGTATTCAGCAATATCACGGTTCGAATCTAGCACTTTGCGATCCGCATTTCGATATGCTAATCATTAGGCCACATACAAACTAAGCATGTCAGAGAGAAGGAAATTTCCTTTTTTGTTTTTTAGAAATGTCTACGCTAGGTCATATCCGGCCCAATCTATAGATAAACGTTATTGTTAGTAGACTCATTAGCTAGCACAAGAATTCGCCTGTTGTAATTTGTTACATTTTTTCCTTGCTTTTATAAGTCAAACTGGCATGAAGGTAAATTTAAGCATAACTTTCAGCATAGAGCATATACCGATATTATAGGTTACCACTATCGTTATGATGTTAGGCCTATGCTTGTTTATATAGTTCAGTCGTGGGGAATTGAATTATGGTTCAATAAAACCGTTGTGGTGTAATTAATTGGATCATAAATAATTATAATAATTTATGCTCTAAACAACTTTTCACACAAAAACAAATGTTTTAGATTCTGGATGACATTTTGGTAGGGACGATAGGTGAACTTCCTGGAGCAAGTTGGAAAATGTGTGTGTTTGTGTGTAAACATTATTTAGTTATTTAAAAGATAATTGTACTTATTTTTTGTAAATATGCAGTCCTACCTTGAGTACAGTGCAACTTTGTTTTTCCTTAGAACTTAACAAATAACTTACCCAAATATACCTGCACGGTAATATACATACACAGCGTGGTCACAAGTAAATAGACACCATCTTTTAAAAAAAATTAAAATTTTCAGTCATATTCACATGAATTGATAC